GCGTATCAAAATCAACCCCACAAAAACCCAAACAATCCTCTTCCGACACCCTAACACCTCTACCCGTCCCGGACAACTTGAATCTCAGACTTTTGGGGGAAAACCTCATACTCCAGGACTCGGTTTCCTACTTGGGGGTCACCTTCACGAGGACCCTCAATTGGGAAATCGACCTGAGAGAGACACTGGACAAAGTCCGGAAGAGAGCTAACCTTCTAAAAGCTCTGAGAGGAAAACTTGGGGGATGCGACAGTAGAACTCTGCTTCATACCTATAATATCTATATAAGACCAGTCCTCGACTACGAAGCAATCATATATTGTACGCTTCCTCCGAGACTGTCCCACCGCATCCTTACGACTGAACGACGAATACTACGCAACATACACAACCTGCACTACCGATACCCTTTCCTACACTTATATAACCTCATAAATACTACACCAATCGACCAAAGATTTCAGGAACTCCGAGGATGATATGCGACCAGGACGATGAGCAGCAACAACACCGATGCCATCGATACGCTCACATCGCCATGGATCCCCCGTGGAGGATCCCGAAGGAAACCTAGGAAAAAAGCTCCCTTTTCCCCCAGCCAGACTCCTGGGAGAGATGGAAGACCCACCGGAGCCGATCCAGGACATCCTAGAGGATTTCCCACTGGGATACAGATAGCGGACACCTGACAGCAGCGCCCCGGAAAGTACCGAAGTCCTAAACACACAAAACCCCGGCCCAAAACCCCGTACCAAGTCACATCTGGACCACCGACCACCGCAATGAACCCGGACTACCACATGGATCAGCATAAAAACCAACTAAGAAAACTGGAACACCAAAACAACACAACACAAACTCCAACATAAAACAAAAAACACACACATAACTCACTCACCCTGATGAGGCATAAGCCTATAGCAGGGCCCTACACAAACACATACACACACAAAATTGTAACAACTGTAAATAATTTGTAAATATACGATTCATACATTCTTCATTCAGATACTTTTCAGATAGAGAACACGTTAGATCGATATTTGGAAAGACTCCTATTTTGCGATATTTGACTGGCGATTGAGAGATATTCCTTGGCGAGCATTTTAAAGCGATATACTACAGTAGATTATTGGATATTCTTCTGGGATGATTCAAAGGATTCATTGATATTTGTTAGTTCATTTTAGAACTGAAAGAATTCGTTGGTTTTATAGTTCTTTTTAGAAATAAAGGAATTCGTTAATAATTTTTTCCGATTTTTAGGTGACTTTGGTCAAAAGAATTCGTTTATTTTCTCTGGATCTTTTAAGACCCAAATAGAGAAAAAAAAAATTTTTCGATTTTAGGTTTTCGTCAAATGAATTCGTAGTCTCTGGTTCTTTTCAGAACTATTTAGAGACACTTGAGGATTGGACCAGGAAGTCAATTGGACTTAGTTCCGGAGTACGAGGAAAGTCAATTGGACTTAGATCCGGACATCGAGGATTTTTCTTGGAGGATTTTTCTGATTGCGTAGGATTTTCAGAAGAATTCGATCTCTGGTCCTTCTCAGGACTCAATAGAGATAATTGCGAGTAGGGATTCACAGGAGGATTTTTCTAGAAGTCGTTTCAGAGGTTTCCTTCGTGTACCGTCGCAGTGTTGGACTTGACTGGAGCAGACTTGGAGTAGCGGTGTCCCTGGGTCAAGTGGACTCAGATCAGGTCGGATTGCTGGCCGGAATTTTTTTGTTTCAGCGTTGCGGTTCCTTGCGGCACGCCAGGAAAAGCAGTCCAAAATCCTACGAAGGAAAAGTAGGTCTCCACTAAAGTTGACCACTCTCAGGTACTGAGGCTAACCTAGCGGTGATAACTGGCCTGGTATAACGGGATTAAAGCGAGGGAGTCAAGCCATCATTAGATTAGCCCCTGGGCTGTCGACTCAACGTTACCGTTGGGACCCTCCAGGATTACGAAACCTCTTATCCACACTTCCTGCGGACGGCCCTCATCCTAAGGTGCGGTTCAACAGTTAGGTTCCGTGATCCTTTGTTATTAGCTCAGTTCACTCTGTAGGTCTTGGTTAGGGAATTAATTTCGCGATCCAAGAGTGAACTTAAAGTCTTAGCTTTTCGTGAATCCTCCCCTCTGCCTATCTCCAAGTCAGAGTCTTTGTAAGGAACTTTTTAAACACGAAAATGCAGACTAGGGCACAACAAACGCGAGCGCAAGTTGCAATGGATACGTCAGTGCAGAATCGCGTGGTCAAACGTTTCGACCAACTCAATCCTAATTAGTTAGTGATTAGCGATTAGTTAGTGAAAGCGAAATTTCTCGAAGGACTCAGTCCTCAAACTGTGATAAACTTTCGCGTAGTCAAATTGTATTGAATCGATTTAAGGCATTAAATACCCCCAACACAAGAAGAATGGACAAACGAAACTTCACCAGAGAACATCAGGAGATGTTACTCGAGAAGTGTCCCAATAAGCGAAAAATTCTACAAACTCAAAGCGCGCCTCAGTTAGGGCTACGCGCTATGTTGAATGCAACAAGAAAACCCGCTATACCGAGATCGGTGGCGATGAGAAAGATGTAGGATGGAATCCCTCCAAAGACAATTCTGTCTGAGAATTTAAATATTTTCAGACAACGAGAAGTGTTAGCCACTTATGTAGAAAATCCTAAAGTCAACATGTACAGGGTGTACAGTCATCCTGTACCACTTACGAATGCTGAACAAACAAGACCATTGTCGACTTCAACAAAGAGTTCGTGCAGGAGCAGCCAGCACACTCGAAACGTAGGACGTTTCGAGTGCAACGTGGGACTCTTCAGAGAGGATTCGCACAGGGTGTTTCGGAAGTGAAGAGGAGGACATCTTCAGGGACGAGTATCTGGGAGATGGATACACCGACGCGGGATGCATCTTCGACGGGTCGCCGGCGGGCGTTAAACGTACAAACAGGGATGCAGGACAGGTCGTCCGACGCCAGGCGTCGCGACGCCCCCAGGCCCAAACCCTTAGCGGTTCCTGGTAGGGAGACGTTCGGCGCACAGGAGCGCCTTATGTCTCCCGTAAAGGAGCAACTGAGGCCCTAGCGGAAGTGCTAGGGGGAGGAGGCATCCTGAAGGCAGCAGGGCCTTGGTGATGCCTTCATGGCGGGCGAAGTTGCTCAACCAGATAGCAGCTTACAACGAGCTAGTCCGTGGAACGAACCAACCTCCCGTCGAGCTCAGACAGAAGCGGAGTCTCGAAATCCCTGGGTCTCAGGTCTGGGAGGCCTGCCGGCCGTCTCGACGCGACGAAACGGTGGCCGAGGTAAACAACGGGGTCGGTGTTGCTATGCACGCCTCCGCCAATACCGAGGTGTACGGAGTGTGGGAAGTGACGTCCAGCGTACCCGGCTGGACTATGAGCACCTCTCCCACAACCCAAAACCAAATTGTTTTGGAGGACAACTCGAAGTATGCGGACGGACGACTGCTTCCGAAAACGACTTTATGAATCTACTGAAAATATCAGTTTCAGTAACAGTTCAGTTACATACATACTGAATAGTTTCTGATGAAGAGTTCTTTATTTTTTCCAGATTGCAAGTGGAATAGTTTCTACTCTACGGTATATTTTCCATTCTGAAAAAGATGTCCAATGGAGAACCATAATGTGAACATCACAAATCACTTGGAACAATTAGGCTTTGTTGAAAACGAGTTCGGAGCAGTATCATATTTGAACGATATTCATTTTGTTGACCCTTTGGATTTTAATGGCTCAAATCGAGATTTATATTTAGAACCAGTAGTTGATGATATTTCGGAGAAGGAACCGAGACAGCATTCGAAGTTAATGTCTGAAGACCGTCCAGTGAATAATTTCAGAGCACACAATGGTCTGCTGGTTACATGGCAGTGATTCCAAAAACATCTGCACAAAAGGAAATGTTCACACGTGTGAATCAGGAAGTGACTAGTGTGAATCATTTTCCAAGTGTTGGTTTCCATATGATGCAACCGCCATTACGAATACCTGGTTCAGTAGCCGTATATGCTTCCAACAATCAAACTTCGTCAACAGCAGAAATGACATGGCAATAAGCTATTTGCGAATATAAACTGAAGAAAGATGAACCTGCTTCTTGTGTTATTTGTGAGAGAGTTTTCACCTCTTTGGGACACTTGGGCCGGCATTGTATATCAGCCGTTCATGAAAATATGGTTTTGAATCATAGTACCAACTCAAAGCATGTTTTAGGCGAAAGATAAGGCTGTAGACGAAGTGGTCCAGTACAGATAACACAAGCGGAAAATACCGTATGGGCACGTGCGATCCTGTACCCCAACATCCTGTTTAGATACAGCATAATCAATATCGTACGTGTTCATACAGTTTCTTCCAAAATGACGGAAGTTATCATCAATACCAATAGGGAATGTGCATAGAGTTCAAGTTTGTCCCAATTTTTTTCGAAAAATAAGGGAACGAAATTCAGATTAACTATTGTATCGCTATTTTGATTTGAGTACAAATACGTGTATACATCAATCAATTACTTTTCGTTTCATTTTAGGTGTAGGTACACTATGGCTGCACCGACGTGGTGGAAATCCATCAATAATTAGCGTCGAGCATGAATTAGTACTAGCCTGACGTTTATAAAATCCAAGGAAATTTTTACGGCACCTAAGCGTAAGCTTGTGTCAATATCTTTGGATACGAATAGTTTCCTCACGGTGATAATAAATCATTGCAACTGTCATTTGTTGAAGTTTTATAATGAACGGTACCATGTAGAAAAATTGTCAATACATCATCTTCAGTTCTACACAAAAGGAAAATTCCTTTGTGTCCAGGAAACATCGTGTGAAGCAAAAAAAAATTAATGATTTCTAATGTTTGCAAATTTCAATTCTCAGGAAATATCTATCTCGGTAAAGAATTCGAATGCTCGGTTGTTCAGTTTGAAACTAATGAAATATAAGAGAGAGAAATGTGAAATGATTAATGATATTTCAGAATCAGTGGTTGGCCGGTTCTAACCCGGTGATCAAGAAGTTTTTTCTCAAATACCCAATATCGGCATGGTAAGGCGGCCATGTACCTCTTTGCAAAGCAAGTATATTGATGCCAATCTCATCTAGTGCTAGCTTGGAGTGCAAACTGACAACCAGAGGTGGAGCTGTAGGTTTTTCAGGTTTAAATACATATGATAACTAAATAAGCCACCAAAAATAAGAGATTATCATTATTAATAATATTAGCAACGTCCGTGGAAATACCCATAGATTAGTAATGATAGTAATTTTAAATATGGTGAAAGTGTTTCATTGAACATTATCAAAGTTCATAGGCAATACCCACTGAAGTAGTAGAAAAATATGTCGAATTTCAGAACTAGCATTTTTTGATCATTTTATAGATTTCATGGGAATGGCATCTTGAACGCCATTAACTCTTGCAAGTTAGAGACATTCCACTTCAAACCTGAAGAAATATTTTCTGTTGATCTTTAAACATGTTTCCATAATTTGAAATATAGCAAAATGTGATTTTTTTTTCAAGAGACATCTACATTCTCGAGGGTGTCAGGTCATGTAGACAGCATTTGAATGATCGTCAAACTAACGTTTTCATGCACAGTCGAATGGATTAGCTGAGGGTTATGTAAAAATAGTGGAAAAGGCCTTGTACAAGAATTGTTTGGAAAATTCCAGTTTAACTATAGAGCAACAGCTTGTAAATATCTCGTTATCCTATAGAAATACATCATGTATAACAACGTCATCGTGTCCAAATGATATGTTATTCAAATATAAACCAAGAACTTCGTTAGACATCATGTTGAAACCTTCAAATAATAACTGTATAAGGTATGGTAAACCGAATAATTATGTAGCTTTCAAGAAGTTCAATGTTGGTGAAAAAGTTTTAGTAGGTGGCTTTGGCTCTACTAGTGCAGTAAAGTGGAAAGTAGGTATCATCTTAAAAACTTGAAAACAATAGGACTTTCAGTTCCCAGGCGAAGTAATAGGGTGGTAAGACCTCCAAAGAGACTGAATTTGTGAATTGAAAGGACGGAGATGGATGTGGTATATTGGAATGCACTCTAGTGACAAGTGTCAATTGAGACAGTTGACACTTTATATAAGAGGAAATAAAATGGTGTACGGAACCACATGTTCAAGTCTTATGTAAATGTAAAATTCAATAATAAACGCTGCTTTCTATTAGTCGTTATTTCACTGAATGAACCTCAATGCATTTCAATTAGGCTAGAACCCACGAACAACCCAGTGTGCAGAATGAGTATCGAGTATCTGTAAGTTCAATAAAACAAAAATTATCTGTAAGCAATAAAAAAAAAGATTATTGTTAGCATATGAATTGGAAAATTATTTGGAAAAGATGATGTTATCCAAATAAATACCGTTACGGTGCTGGCAGTCTTCTGAACGGAAACGAAAATTTACGATAACACGTTGACACATAGTTCTCGATATTGCTGCAATATTTGACGTGATGTTTTGATTCAATTGGGTTAGGTTCATCGAATTATTTTGATAAACCTCACCTTTGAGGTATCCCCATGCAAAGTAGTCAAGCGAATTAAGGTCGGGGCTTCTGGAAGGCCAGTTGATGTTACTCTTTCGCGAAATAATTTTATTAGGGAGTAATTCGTTAACAACTTCATTTGAGTCATTTGAGATATGAAAAGTGGCCCCATCTTGCTGTAACCACGTTCTTGAGATGAAACCTGTAACTCTGGGACCAAAAGGTTTCACAACATATCGCAATAACGGTCACTATTCACATTGATTGCTCGCTTCGTTCATGGAAATGAGGACCAATTATTCCTTTAGCAGGCATAGCTGCCCAAACAACGACCTTTGGGTTGTGCAGGGGTCGTTCAAGCTTCCGTCTCGGATTCTTCACTGTCCAATACCGACAATTCTGCCTAATAACATGACCATTCAGGTGGAAATTTGCTTCGTCGCTGAACAGTATGTTTTCAAAGTTATTAAATGACTGCATCATTTCGTTCGCAAAATTCAGTCGATGAGCATAGTCTCAATCCTTCAATCTTCGAATCAATTGAATTGTATAGGATCTCAGATGCAAACCTTTCTTTGAATGTTAGGACGATTTTTTGATGTTCAACGCTTGACTTCGCTTTCAGATGGATAAAGACGCCCAATCTTCTTCAATTGTTTCTTCATCACGAATTGAACGAGGGCGACCAGAGTTATGAATTTTAATTGTCGTACCTGTATTCTCGAACATCCTTATCCATTTCCTAATGCTATCGTCACTTGGCGCGTGGCGTGTACGAACTCCGCACGATACAGACGTTAAGCAGTCATTATTGAATCACCGTTGCGATAATACACTCTTATGCAGAATGCACGATGCATCCCCGAGTACCTTTCCATCATGACTGAAACTCCACAAAATGGAGGACGCCACGAACCCCTTTCCGCTCACTTCTGTCACTCCGTTTCGAATATGGCGCGAAAATAAATACCCGATACCCTTTCTGGAAACCTTGTACTTTCAGTAATGTGATTCTTATAATTGGTGGGCTTTGTTTGTTTATTTCAACAACTCGTAGAATTTTGAATCGATACCAATTCTGGGTCTGAAGGATGAAGTTTTAAAAGGATATTACTTGTGCTTGGCTACGTAGTGGACACGTAGAGGACACGTAGTGGTGATTCAAATAATGATTTTTGATTATCATCAATCCAAATTACTTCCAACTTCCAAGGTATTCATAGATATGAATTTGAAAATTGGATTATGGACAAACATATTACGAATTTGTCTATCGTAACTAACTGTAGAGTCAATACATTTTTTTTACATCTGGTTCTTTATTATAGTTCTGCCAGGCAAAATTATCGAAGGTCGTTGAATTGTTGAAGCGTAGATCGTAGATCATAAAAACTCTTGAAAGACATATGATCATAAAAAGCGTAAGAACCACAACTAGCATTAAAATCAAAAATTGAATTGGACACAAGGAGAAAATCGTCGTGGACGTGTCTGGATGCTCTAAAAGAAGATGCTGGATACTCGGATCTCAAGAATCAGAGAAGTATATTTGAAGGAATACCCCAGCCTTGAATTTCCTTGGTGGTCTGTGGAAATAGGATTTCCATCAGAAGTTATGATGTCTAGTCCATTAAACCCTATGATAAAACCCTGTATCTTGTTAGTATTCTTAATAAGGCCATCACTAAGAATATTTAAATATTTCCAAGCATTGACACTCTGATTCTATAAATGATTAAAAAATTACCTGTGTCCTTATCTCCACAGATCTGAAAATAGTTGTTCCAACTGGGTACATGTTGTTCTCGATTAAGAATAGACTAAGGTAACGTTATGAAGTTGGCGCCCAACTTATAAATTGAACATCAATAAAAATTATAGACTAAAAAATATCCGTTTCATGAATCTATCAGTTATTGATGAATATATGTGATTTTCTTCAGGACTTCTATGAGCTATTGCAAAAATTCTTTTGTAGCGCATGCATCACCGAATGAATTACAATTACATATTTCAGTTTCAACTATTTTTTGGGTGAATTCATTGTATTCATAATATGAGTTTTTTTTTAATGTGAAGGATACCTCCTGTATGAAGATAAATCTTATAATGAAATGTTTTTAAACACCCAGTGTGATAACCAAGTGATGGATTTCAGATATGTTTTTGTGGATTCCAGAAGATATTGAAAGTTATTTTCGATATATTGATGGTCATATATCAAATACAAGTTTACCCAAAAACTAGATGGAGCTGAACAATTCAATTGGAATTTATTCACTGTTTCATGCCCTATAGAAAAACTTTTGTTACCTCTCAAAGAAATCCTGAAGAAAATAACATATATTATTACTATCTATTATTATTACTATTACTGATTAATTTATCACATTGGCATTGACCAAAGGTATCATCTAATGATTTGTTGAAACAACATTTCGCAGTATGGTCAATATGATCCATATGATATGGTGGAAACTGAGTAGAGAAATCATAGTCGAATGTCATATAATTTGTGAAACTAAATGTGTAATTTTATCGGGTGAAGATGAATAATTTATTAATGTATTCTCTAACGTTTTCGAAAAACATTTATTGTAAGATTCTCACTAGACAGTTTCACAAAAACGCAACACGTGTTTGTCCATACAATGGCTTTTTCGGGCGTGTCTTTTTGTGAAGAAACGCCCGTGGTGTCTTTAGCAAAGACACGCTCGAAGAAGCCATTGTATGGCGAAACACGTGTTGCGTTTCTGTGAAAATCTCACAATGGAGTTTTTTTTGATTACGTTAGTTATGTATTTTCTTCCAGTATCGTCAAATTCCCTCATATAATGTATTTTGTATTTCTTCCAAGCAATATACATCTGAAAATCATCTGAGTGGAAGAGATCTTTCTAAATAACTTCAAATTGTACTACTAATTTCAAATTTATCTCAAAGTTGGCAGTATTTTATTCAATAATGCAAGTAACATCTTTCTACGACTTCAAATATGCGTCTAATATAAATTACAGCAGTTTCTCTCCTCCGCATGCATCTTCATATTCAAAATAAAAAAATTTACACTTGGTATACCGTTTACTTCTCAGTGATGTCAAGATTTTTCCTCTCGCTATAGCACAATTGGCGCTCGATATTGAAATTTTCTCAATTCACAGATTGAATCGTTTGAAACGAGTCACCACTCTGCAGAATCTAGTACAACAAAAATAGGTTGCAAGGCACTTTTGGCTTCGGAAAATCAATAATTAGGTTCCTTTGACATCCAAACGATTCCAATGATACCATTTCCGACAAAATATTTCAACCGGAAGAGAAAACTGAGGAAGTCTGGATTTTGGAGGATTTTCAACTTTCCTGGCATTGGTAATCCGAATATATCATTTGTTTCACTATATTATATTTTTTCTCGATATCTCTACACAACATCAATTATGCTTCTCCATCTCGCACATGCTCAATATATTTTTGGCACAACACAATCTTTGTTCTTCCATGAAACAATTAAGTACCACATTTCATTTCATGTGCTACACATTACGATCTGACTATCATTGAAGGAGATATAAGTTAAGCCCTACTTAACATGTCGTCATCTTCATTTTTTTCTCAATTATGAATTCAGCATCCCTGCCCCTTTCATTTCATGTGCCGCACATTACTATCATTAGAAAATATATGATTCATTGCCCTTATTTGTCTTTCCTCCATCAATAAATTCAACATCACTTCTTCGCCCATGTCATGTGCTGCATATCACGATCGGTCTATTATTATTCAAGAAATCTTTTAGTGCCATTTTGTCCTAGCACCATGTTTGATTTCTTCTACTATTAAATTCAGTATCCCCCTCTTCCCTTCAGAGTGATGCACGTCACGGTCTGTATATTGATAACGAAAATATGACCCTATGCCTCTCAAGTGTACCACCATATTTGTTTTTTCTCTGCTCCCTCACTGGTGTCACCTCCTTCTGACACATACACACGCATATTGCCGTTCGCGTCACTCTTATGAACATCAACATCGATATCAATAATACCATTTGACATGCCACTATGTTTGTTTTTGATGAGCTGCACATCACGATCTCTTTATCATTAAGGAAGATACGGCGTAGTGCCCCTTGGATAAGTCGCAATCTTTGCCTTTTCTCTACTACACGCTGACATCATTGACTTCTCACCCACGTCACAAATTACCTCACACTTCCAACTCACAAATGCTCTTGATATCTTATCACCAGTTTGTCATACCTTGTCATTTGCCATGTCCCGTCGGTCGCGTCCGTCATATCTTGTTAATCTACGAACCTGATGGCCCCAAATTGATTGGTGAAATGCACCGTCAAGAAAATTGTTGCCGTTTCGGATGAGAATGAATAAGTTCATCTGCTGATTATTCCAACTTGATTGGCATCCCCGACGACGAAGGCACATAACCACCCCATAGAATATAAATGAAATCTGTCTGTATTTTCTCGAAGTTGGCAGTAACGGCATGTCATTTGCCATCTTTCATTCATCATTCTTCTCCTATCCCTTTTTCTTCTTTCCGCCATGAACTTCATCTCCTAATGACGTCAAACTATTTCCTTCTCATGCCTTCAACTACAGCTATGTCCATCATTCAATACTCTGCTTGTGACCCGAATTTGCCTTTTCTCTAACTCCTACCTTCACACATCCTGTCATATACAGGATGTGTAAAAGTCATATATTTTCTGAAACACACCCACTTTCACATACCCTGTTAGGGTTCATCTGTTTTCAAACATCTGAAGACACTCTTTACTATTTTTTTGTCTCACATTTTTATAACATATAAAGTATAGCTGAATTCTATTATTCGTTGAGTATGCTAACATTGTAAACCAAACAACCTCATGTTTGCTCACACCAAATCACAAAAAACATATTAACCACAGCCAAACTGCAACATATCTGCTATATACGCTCTCACAAAACCATTATCACTGAGCTATTCCTCATGGCCAAAAACCCGAAAGGTTCTGAACCACCGAAAGTTTGTTTCAAAAACGGCAACTATGACGCTAACTTTATTGACGAAGTGTGAGTTACATTTCAATGAATCTCATCAGTTCGGACTCCCATTGTCTACTATAATATAAATTGATTTGAAATTTCTGAAAATATATTGAAAAGATTTACCAAAAATAACATTTTATTTGAACAAAAAACTGAAATTACAGTTTCGATTGTTAGTATCCACAATCGACTTAGGGTGATATCACCCGAAGACGAGAAGTCCGAACTGATGAAATACACCACGAAAGATTGTCAACCACCTTCAAACACATTTCAATGAATTCTAAAATATTTGATCAAATTGAACATTTACCGTAGCAAATGTATATCTGTTTGGTATCATACATTTGGAACTCAAAATGCACTGAAATAATTGAAATCTACTTCAAAAATCAAAGTAATCCATTATAAAAGTTGACTGTGATATCTGAAAAAAAATGACAGGGGTAGAATATTTGAACATAACATATTTCAGTTCCAACATTTTTTTGTATCAAGATGGAGTAGTAGAAAGCCAAAAACTTTCTTTCTTTCTGTTGTAACAACATAGATTGTTCAAACAGAATACTGTACAAACAGAATAGAAGAAATCAATTGTTCACTACGAAAATGTAGAGGTTGGGGGTACAATAATTTTTTGAGTGTGGTGACTTATGACATACAAGAATATTTAATAAACTAGCCGATACGATCATCAATCACAATTGTCAGTCGTCATATTCATCGCTACCTGAAATACTGACACGGGTACCTGAATCAAGTAATAGGAATTTTGTGACATCTCTACCTAAACTACTGGAATTTATTACGGACATGGGTATCTGAGGTGAATTAGGTGTGTCAGGTACTCGTAATATGCGGACGGACAACCGTTTCCGAAAACTACTTTATGAATTTACTGAATATATTAGTTTGAGTAACAGTTCAGTTTCCAGATTGCAAGTGAACTAGTTTCTACTCTACGGTATATTTTTCATTCTGAAAAAGATGTCCAATGGAGAACCATAATGTGAACATTACAAATTACTTGAAACAACTCCGCTTTGTTGAAGACGAGTTTGCAACGAGTTCGGAAGCAGTATCATATTTGAACAATATTGATTTTGTTGACCCTTTTGATTTTAATGGCTCAAATCAAGCAAATCAAGATTCATATTTAGAACCAGTAGTTGATGATATTTTGGAGGACGAACCAAGACAGTATTCGAAGTCAATGACTGACGACCGTCAAGTGAATAATTTTAGAGCACAATGGTCTGGTGATCACATGGCACTGATTCCAAAAACATCAGAACAAAGGGGAATGTTCACACGTGTGAACCAACTTCCAAGTGTTGGTTTCCATATGATGCAACCGCCATTACGAATATCTGGTTCAGTAGCCGTATATGCTTCCAACAATCAAACTTCATCAACAGCAGAAATGACATCGCAACAAGCTATTTGCGAATATAAATTGAAGAAAGATGAACCTGGTTTTCGTGTTATTTGTAAGAGAGTTTCCACCTCTTTGGGACACTTAGGCCGGCATTATAGATCAGCCGTTCATAAAAATATGGTTTTGAATCATAGTACCAACTCAAAGCATGTTTTAGGCGAAAGATAGGGCTGTAGGCAAAGTGGTCCAGTACAGATAACACAAGCTGGAAATACCGTATGTGCACATGCGATCCGGTACCCAAACATTCGGTTTAGATACAGCATAATCAATATCGTTCGGTTTCTCCCAGAATGACGGAAGTTATCAATAATACCAATAGGGAATATACAAAGAGTTTAAGTTTGTCCCAATTTTTTTCGAAAAATAAGGGAACGAAGTTCAGATTATTTAATGTATCACTATTCCTTTGATTTGAGTACAAATACATATATACAGCAATGAATTAACTTTTGTTCTATTTTAGGTGTAAATATCCTATGGATTTTTTAGCGTGGCTGCACCGACGTAGTGGAAATTCATCAATAATTAGCGTCGAGCATCAATTAGTACTAGCCCGACGTTTATAAAATCCAAGGAAATACTCTGCTTGTGACCCGAATTTGCTTTTTCTCTAACTCCTACCTTTACACATCCTGTCATAAAGAGGATAAGGGTCATATATTTTTCTAAAACACACCCACTTTCACATACCCTGGATACGGTTCATCTGTTTTCAAACATCTGAAGACATTCTTTATTATTTTTTGTCTCACATTTTCATAACATACACGAGACTAACATTGTAAACCAAACCACCTCAAGTTTGCTCACACCAAATCACAAAAAACATATCAATCATAGCCAAACTGCAACATATCTGCTATATACGCTCCCACAAAACCATCATCACCGAGCCATTCCTCGTGGCCAAAATCCCCGGGGGTTCTGGACCACCGAAAGTTCGTTTCAGAAACGGCAACTATGACGCTAACTTCATTGACGAAGTGTGAATTACATGAATCTCATAAGTTCGGACTTCCATTGTCTAATATAATATAAATTGATTTGAAATTCCTGAAAATATATTAAAAAGATTAACCGAACATAACAATTTTATTTGAACAAAAAAACTGAAATTACAAAGAAATAATATGAAACCAAACAACAACCAAAAAATAAAAATTGAAATATTAATAAAAGCTGAAAATAAAAAAAATGTTATTAACACAAAATGAAAAAAATTAAAAGATTCCAAACCAAGTAGTTAGTATCGGGTGATATCACCCGAAGACGGGAAGTCCGAACTGATGAAATACACCACGAAATATTGTCAACCGCCTTCAAACACCTTTCAATGAATTCTAAAATATTTGATCAAATTAAACATTTACCGTAGCAAATGTATATCTGTTCAGTATCATACATTTTCTAACTCAAAATACACTGAAATAATTGAAATCCACTTAAAAAAACAAAATATTTTATTATAAAAGGTGACTGTGATATCTGAAAAAAAAATGACAGGGGTAGAATTTTTGAACATAACATTTCAAATAACTCACAGAGACAAAATACATGAACATAATAAAAAATTGTCTTTTACGTTTGTAGTTTCGTTTCATAATCACTTGTTCTCGAAAAATGTTTGATTGGTTACTTTTTACCTTCTCCTAACATGATCTGAATCTCCGAAAATGTCTTGCCTTTAGTTTCTGGCACAATTACTTTTATAAAGATACATGAGGCGACACCAATTATAGCGAATATCCAAAATGTCCATGCCGTCCCGAATCGATCGAACATGAAAGGGAATGCAAAAGTTACCCAGAGACAAAACATGAACATTATAACAATGACTGATGCGCTCAGCTTTGCCTTAATATGAACCGGAAAAATTTCACCAACTATTGTGTAAGGAATAGGACTGAGCCCAAATCTGTAAAAGACCATGTAAGCTAACAAAGAGATTAGAGGCAACCAAGATATGCTATTGAGATCGTAGTTTTTGACTTGTAGATGGAAATACGTTCCAATGCAACCAAGTGATGTTATCATTCCCATTTGTGATATCAACAGTAGTTTCTTTCTTCCTAACTTGTCGATCAAATATGAAGCTATGAGCGCAGGTATCAACTGAACTACGGACACAATTATAACACTCACACCTCCTGATATAGCACTGTCCGTGGAATCAAAAATTGTTTGTTGGTAAGCGACAATAGCCGAACTGCCAGAAAACTGTTGAAAAAAAAGTAGTCCTAAAGTGATGAGGAGAGACTTAACAATCACTTTGGACTGCATCATATCTTTGAAAGATACATTCTGTCGTGTTTCCTCTATACTGGACACAATTTCGAAAAATTCTTTTTGCACATCTGTTGTTTGTCTGAACTTGGAAAGAGACATTTTTGCTTCCACCAATTTTCCACGAAGTACTAAGTCATAAGGACTTTCAGGAATGAATGGTCCGAATGTAAGTAAAAATAAAATTGAAGGAATTAGGCAAATTATGGAAAAGGTACTGATAGAAAGGTAAGGACCCATTATAACAACTGAAGAAATTGATATTATCAGTACTACACTTGAAATCATACTCATTGCTCCTCTAATGTCTTTATCGCATATTTCTGCTACGTATGTAGGTATCACAGAATAGACGCAACCTGATCCAACTCCCAGTAAAAATCTTGAAATATAAAATTCTTCCAGGGAATTTGCAAATATTAACATAACATTTGATATCATAATTGGAGTATGGAACAGAATGAGTGTCTTCTTTTTTCCCAATTTGTCAACAAAAACTCCAGCAATAATGGGTCCACAGATGCATCCCACACTGAAGAGGGAGGTGATCCAAGAGTTTTCAATAACTGTGATAGGTTTTGACAAGGGATTTTCTTCAGAAGCTATACTCAATTTTGGAATGTACGGGGATGTCCAGGCGTACCCAGTGGTTCCAACAAATGTCATCCAATTGACTGAAAAGTAAAAAATCAATCTAATTATAAATTATTGAATTTCATAGGAAACAAAAATGCATTGAGCATGAAAATGAAAGATAGAATCGGAACCTCTGGAGTATAAAAAAGCCAAAGCAAAACCTGCTCATTTTCAAGAACTGCAAAAACTCTTCTCGATGCGCGTTCCATCAACCAAATGGGCATTTGTTGGCGAAGAATTCTGAACAATATACCGGTAGTTTCCAAGTTGATATCATGGGGAGCTAAATCACATAAAATGGTATAGTTCATATTCTTATGAGGCCAACTCGGTAGATGAAACATGCGTCGACAAGAGTGTTGTAGTCCAAGTATGTGAGAGCAATATTTGTTTTGAATTATAGTCCAAGACTATCAGATATCAGAGGGGCGCAGCCGTTGAAAAATTGAAACAAGCTCAATTTTCCTAAAAAACCTTTACGGCTCCAAACGGACAAACATAGGTATATCATTTAATGAATGAAACAATAATATAATAATAATAATGACTTTATTCATAAAAAAGAATAGTTATAATCATACAAACAAATAATAGCTATGTTGAATAAAGTAAAATGGCAATAAGTGCAGAAGCACTTGTTTCGTCTAAAAAATAAAACTTAACACATAGACACACGAATACAAACAGGCACTTTTTTAAAAATGATGTTAGGACTATAAAATGACCAAATTGTACACCCAGAAGGTGAACGATCAGAAGGGTGATATTTTTCATTCCATAATAGGTACTGTTGTAAAATAAAAATAATAACGCGCATTATACATTATATTATAAAACTGCTTTATACTTAAATGAATGAAACAATGGAAATTAAATATGACTGGTCTCCCGTAATTTGCACTCAGAAAGAAAAATCACTCAGACTGTACTTATTTCATTCTGAGGGAAAATCTTCCAAATATATTTTATATATGTGTCACTTCCTTTCAGTTTGTTCAGCTAATTGGCTAATGTAATCGATAGGATGAAAATCTTCGATTTTCTTTTTCCACATCTTCGATGTGGAAATCGATTTGTTCTCCATATGAAAAGTCATTGAATGTAGATGAACAACACCGATTCTGGCACACTTGGGAGTGGGGGGAAACGTCATCGAAATCGACGCAGGATGGAACAAGTATCGTAGCGATTTGAGCGTGGAACTCCGCCCCTCGGCCCCCTTGGTACTCCACCTAACCTATCGACCCCCTTGGTACTCCACCTAACCTATCAGCTCCCTCGGCCCTCTTCAGTCACGTGATTTTAATTAAAAAAGTTTATAGTTATGAGATTCGAACCTGGATCGTCCGTGCCGTAGACATTGTCCTTAGCCTCTACACCATCGTAAGATATTGAAGTTAACTGCGAATGTTGGGTATTTATAGCGTTAGTTTTGTCGGGACCGAAATTGACTTATTAATTATACTTGAAAGCATTTTTTTTATTTCCATAGAATGTAATCGTCATTATCATACTGGAGATAGGAAAATATACTCAGATTTGGGAAATAAATAATATTTCATGTAAAGATGTGTATGTGTGTGTAAGAGCGAGAGGCACGTGTGACGTAATCGATGCAAAGAGAGATGGAGATCGAGGTTTTAGCGGTTGCTAGTGCAAGCAGGTGTTGCCAGTTGTACAATAAATCAATGTTTATGGAGTAATGTAGCGTTGCCGGTTTGAAAATTAAGTTATAGAACACACAGAGTCATCTATGAGTCACTAGCTGAACTATCTATCGGTTGAAGAAGGACACTGTAAACATTAGACTCATAAGACTGCATCTGTCAAATGTCAATACATACCAGGATGGCAGGTTCGGCGTTGCCAGTTATACAATAAATCAATGTTCATGGAGTAATGTAGCGTTGCCGGGTTTGGAATTAATCGTGAACTACTCGACGAAAATTGGAAGCGCGAAAATGATATATTTTATAATAATGAATCAGATTTAAGAAAAAATATGACAACCTGCGATCCGTCATTGTATACGGGGTGTCTCAAAATATATCATTGAAAACAAACATGAAGTCGAAGTTTACAGGGTGCGTCAAAATATATTTGAGAAAAAACATATCGGTTCAACAGAAGTCTAGCATTTCAACATGCCAAAAGGGCACTGCGTCTCGTATCTTTGTCAACCAAGTTAGCATCATCAGGAGAAAGAGGAGATTCAAAAGTGTCGAGAGGTTAGGCGTTGTGGACTCAACGTGAGGGCAATGGGAGAGCGGAGTATTCGACAATGACATTTCAAAAAACGTTATTTTACATAAGTTTCGAAGGAAAACGATGTTCCGTACGTCGTTGGTAAACAAAAATTAGTATTATAATGGCATTCAGAGAATACAGACGTAAAGTAGAGGAATTTGAGAGACGTGTCCAACGAATAAGTGAAGATATTCAATTATATGAGGAAAAGAAAATGGTTCTCAAGCAGTTGAATAATTTACACATTCAAAACAAAGTGTTCCAGCCTCAGAGTGTAGAATATGTCGTCAACGATGCTGAAGAACAAATTTGGTACTTCCGACTACAATAATTTCTGTTCAATATGTGAACGTACCGAATGTGGGTGAAATTCCAAGGAAATATGCGATAAGGCTAGTGTGAATAATGGAAATTGATTTGTTCGACATCAGTAAATGAGGGTCAGTTAGCAGTATTTGCGCAGGCGCAATTCCAAAGAATACACCATTCAAATGTGAATTGAAAAAGATATTTCAAGATCTTCGTCATTTAAAAAAAAACTGTTGAATTTGTTCCAGAATACGCAACAAGGCTAGAGAAAAAATTTTGATTAGAGTTGTTCAACAATTATGAAATTTAATAAAAAAATGAATATTTTTATTGAGAAAATGTTGTTTCATTTCAAGTTGGTAAAAATATATAATATAGGTATGCAGAATTATCGCTATCACTTATCGTTAAAGACGGACACGTGGCGAAACAAAGGCTCTTTGTTTGATTGCATAATATGTCATCACCTATTTTCCTATTCTTACCCAAGGTGACATTGATCACTGTTAATGCTGAATCATCACCCAGAGATATGCAGTTCTCAAAGCGACGAAACAAAGGCTCTTTCTTTGGTTTCATAATTTGTCATCACTTATTTTCCTATAAATACCTCCTGCGAGGCGAAATGATGAGTTGGTTGTATCAGTGATACTAGTGACAAGTGCAACGATTTTATCGGAAAGTAAGTGTTTTTCATGTTCATTTTATGAATTTTTATTGCAAGATGTATTATACGTTTATGACTTTTTCACAAAAGAATTTATTCAAATTTGATTTAATTCAAAGGTTGTGAGAGTTGTTGAATCATCATCAATTTTTCAAAATTTTTCTCAGATTAATATACTTGAGTGTTTTTTCATACATATTTTTTGAGAATTAACGTTTTTTTTCAATTATTTTGTAATACAAAACGGTTCAGAGGTATTTACGTATTCTTCAAGCCAACCCTGGACAACTATTTTCATCCTACATACATCAGAAGATGGGAAATGATAATTGCTAATATTTCTCAAGCTTTAATAATTAATAAAAGATAAGAACCTGTAATTGCTGACATCCATTTTTCTCGAATACTATCTCTTATAGTAATTTTTGTACCGCACAATTAGTTTTGATGTTTTATTAGATGGCAGCCTCATAACCGGGAAACGTGATTATTAATTTTACTCGAAAATCATCCAAGCTGAATGAGAGTTTTTCTCGTATTTTATCTATTTGCCTTTGACAATGTCATATCTTGTCTATATACACATTCATAAAGTAGTAAACAGAAGCTCGTTTTGTGAGCAGCTTTCTAGTTGAATAAACCTAATAGTAAGTTACGAATAACTTTCATTCGTGTTGTTGTTTATTGAGAGAGTGTTCGTATAATTTGAAACATTTTTTGGTTTCTCGCAGGTGGATTTCCTAAAATTCAAGTTCAGTCGTGGAGAGGGAACAACAACAATTTCACCACACTTCGTGACGGAGGAGTATCACCCCCCTTTAAAAGAATTTTTCATAAGGAAAATACGCTTTCGTGTTGTTTCATTTGAAATTGTACGAAATTAAGGTTAGTACTGCATTTTTTCGTTGTTCAATATATGTATAGAGTTTGTGGTGGTATACTATATTTTTTGTTCGACTCAAAAAGTTTTTTTTTCATAGATATGATCCGCATAAAGAAGTATTTTCAATATTTTTTATGTGTTTAGTACTCGCAGAATATGTGTTTTGAATTCGTTATTTTGAATGACACTTGATTTTTCTGATTATAATTGTAGCTTGCTCATTTTTCACAATCACTCCATGGAAAACATTACCCCCACTCTTGAATTTTATTTTTCTTTGGTGTGTGTTTCTATTGAAGATTGCATTTATTTCAGAACACTACATCAACGTGTGCAGTATAACGTCAGATTCATCTCAACAACTACATCCAAAATCGTCTTAGCAACATTTTCCACAACGAGTTTCAAATCACAGCAGCTTCCAGAACCATCTCAACAGTTCCCACAGAACGAGATTCAATTCTCTGCAGCTTCCAGAACATACTCATCATACCAAAAATTTCATTTATGAACAAAATATCGGTGAGTCATGTCAATAAATAAAATCCAAACAATTGATTTTCCAAAAACCAAGTCGGTAATTGATAATTACCTTTTAGTCATTAGAGATAATTATTCAGAGTACATTGCCAAACAAGCTATACAATTTATTAATAAACATATAAGGAAATGCGTTTTAGCTATGAACAAAATTAAATTTTTGGTTGGGGAAAAAAAGAAAATAATTACAAAAATTGGGGAATTGAAACGCTTCAAAGTGATTATCAAAATGATGGATAATAAACGTATAGGCTCGGGTTTGAAACGAGGAAGCACCAGGGGAAGTGGCAAAATATTAACAATGTTTTCAATAGTAGAGTAACAACGGGGGTAATCATCAATTCGACTCATAAAGATCCTATAAAGTTTCTAGACGATGCTTTTTCATTATTCAAA